ACCCAGGCTGGGGTGCAATGGTGGGATCTCTGCTCACGGCAAACTCCGACTCCCTGGTTCAAGAATTTCTCCTGTCTCAGCCTCCCAAATAGCTGGGATTATAGGCATGCGCCACCACACCCAGCTCATTTTGTATTTTTAGTAGACGGGGTTTCTCCATGTTGGTCAAGCTGGTCTCCAATTCCTGACCTCAGGTGATTCGCCCGACTCAGCCTCCCAAAGTGCTGGGATTACAGGCATAAGCGACCATGCCCGGCTTTTTTTTTTTTTTTTAAAGACAGGGTCATCACTTCTCTGCCTTTTGGCTAAGATCAAGCGTAGTAAAAGACAGGGTCTCACTCTATTGCCCAGGCTGGAGTGCAGTGTGGTGGGATTGTGGCTTATTGTAGCCCTGACTCCCAGGTTTAGGTGATCCTCCCACCTCAGCCTCCTAAATAGCTGGGACTACAGGTGTGCGCCACCAGGCCCAGCTAATTTTCCTTATATTTCTTTAGAAACAGGCTCTCACTAAGTTGCCCCAGGCTGGTCTCAAACTGGGCCCAAGAGATCCTCCCACCTCAGCCTCCCAAAGTGCTGGGATTATAGGTGTGAGCCACCACACCCAGCCTGACTATCTATTAAATATCTAATGGTGGCTCATGCCTGTAATACCAGCACTCTGGGAGGCCGAGGCAGGAGGATCACAAAGTCAGGAGACCAGCCTGACCAACATGGTGAAACCCCATCTCTACTAAAAATACAAAAATTAGTCAGGCGTGGTGGCACGTGGATTACAGAATCCTAGCTACTCAGGAGGCTGAGGCAGGACAATCACTTGAACCCGGGAGATGGAGGGTGCAGTGAGCTGAGATCATGCCACTGCACTCCAGCCTCGGCAACAGACCAAAACTGTGTCTCAAAAATAAAAAATTAAAATTAAAATTAAATAAATAAATAAAACAAATATGCCTGCTCTCCTGAAGCTTACTTTTTTTTTTTTTTTTTTTGAGACAGAGTCTCGGTCTGTTGCCCAGGCTGGAGTGCAGCGGCACAATCTCGGCTCACTGCAACCTCTGCCTCCCGGGTTCAAGACGTTCTCCTGCCTCAGCCTCCCGAGTCCACCACACCCAGCTAATTTTTGTATTTTTAGCAGAGACGGGGTTTCACCATGTTGGCCAGGCTGGTCTCAAACTTCTAACCTCAGGTGATGCCCCAGCCTTGGCCTCCCAAAGTGCTGGGATTACAGGCTTGAGTCACTGCGCCTGACCCTGAAGCTTACTTTCTACTGGGGGAGATTAAAATATATGTTACAGGTTGATAAGGATTGAGGCGGAAAATAAAGCAGAAAAGGTGGATAGGGAGTTATGTAAATGCATATGCAGGAGGGGCTTTGCCATACAGATAGCCAAGGGAGTATCACTGTTAACAGTGACATTTGGGCCAGGCACGGTGGCTCACGCCTGTAATCTCAGCACTTTGGGAGGCCAAGACAGGCAGATTACGAGGTCAGGAGATCCAGACCACTGGCTAACACGGTGAAACCCCATCTCTACTAAAAATACAAAAAAAATTAGCCAGGCGTGGTGGTGGGCGCCTGTAATCCCAGCTACTCGGAAGGGTGAGGCAGGACAATGGTGTAAACCCAGGAGGCAGAGGTTGCAGTGAGCTGAGATCGCGCCACTGCACTCCAGCCTATGCGACAGGAGTGAGAGTCCGTCTCAAAAAAAAAAAAAAAGAAAGAAAGAAAAGAGTGACATTTCGGCAGGGCGCAGTGGCTCACACTTGTAATCCCTACACTTTGGGAGGCAGAGGTGGGTGGATCACTTGAGGTCAGAAGTTCAAGACCAGCCTGGCCAACATATAGTGAAACCCTATATCTACTAAAAATACAAAACAATTAGCCATGCATGATGGTGGGCACCTGTAATCCCAGCTACTCGGGGGGCTGAGGCAGGAGAGTCGCTTGAACCCAGGAGGTGAAAGTTGCAGTGAGCCGAGATCATGCCACTGCACTCCAGCCTGAGCGACAGAGCGAGACTTCCATCTCAAAAAAAAAAAAGTGAAATTGAGTAAAGACCTGAAGGAGGTGAGGGGACAGACAGGCTATGCTCTTATGCAGCTTAGAGAAAAGTAATTCAGGAAGAGGGAACAAGAGCATAGACCCTGAGGCAGAAGTATGCCTAGTGTGCTCAAGGAACAGCCAGAGGCCAGTGTGCATGTTAGGGGGAAAGAGTGCCACAGATCTAGAGCTTTAAAGTTAAGATTGGTTTGGCTGGGCGTGGTGGCTCATGCCTGTAATCCCAGCACTTTGGGAGGCCAAGGTGGGCAGGTCATGAGGTCAAGCGATAGAGACTATCCTGGCTAACACAGTGAAACCCCGTCTCTACTAAAAATACAAAACATTAACCGGGTGTGGTGGGGGGCGCCTGTAGTCCCAGCTACTAAGGACGCTGAGGCAGAATGGCATTAACCTGAGAGGCAGAGCTTGCAGTGAGCCGAGACTGCACTACTGCACTCCAGCCTGGGCAACAGAGGGAGAACAGAACTAAAAAAAAACAAAAGTAACATTAGTTTTTATTTTGAAAGAGAAAGGAAGCCATCTCCTCTCTTAATTTTCTATTAAAAAATATTAGGCATGCTTTTTTTTTTTTTTTTGAGACAGAGTCTCGCTGTCACTCAGGCTGGAGTAGAGTGGCACAATCCACAATCTTGGCTCACTGCACCCTCCGCCTCCCGGGTTCAAGTGCTTCTCCTGCCTCAGTCTGCCAAGAAGCTGAGATTACAGATTCCACCACCCCTCGCTACTTTTTGTATTTTTAGTAGAGACAGGGTTCCAGCATGTTGACCAGGCTGGTCTCAAATTCTTGACCTCAGGTGATCCACCTGCCTTGGTCTCCCAAAGTGCTGAGATTACAGGCGTGAGCCACCCAACCCAGCCACTCAGGCATGCTATTTGTCAAATTTTTTTAAAACTTTACATTGTAAAGCTCTGCCAAGAGCAATGGCTCACGCCTGTAATTCCAGTGCTTTTGGGAGGCTGAGGCCAGAGGATCACTTGAGGCCAGGAGTTCAAGACCAGCCTGGGCAACATAGCAAGATCCCATCTCTACAGAAAAAAAAATTGTGAAGCTCTACTAATCATATAATGGACACAAAGACAACTAGAACTGCCACTCTGAAATTTAACTTGTTAAGAGTTCATCAGGCCTTCAAGAAAAAAGTTATCTTTTCTCTCAACTCTCTGGATAACAGCAACAGGATAAGAAAAATACAACTAAAAACTGAACTGAATTAATCTAACAGGCCACTTTTCACCACTATTTAAACTTTGTCTTTCCCGGCGCGGTGGCTCACGCCTACCACTTTAGGAGGCGTGTGGCAAGTGGATCACTTGAGCTCAGGAGTTCCAGACCAGCCTGGGAAGCAAGGTGAAACCCCGTCTCCACAAAAATCAGCCAGGAGTAGTGGCTCACGCCTCTACTCCCAGCTACTTGGGGGACTGAGGTAGGAGGATCGCTTGAGGCCAGGAGGCAGAGGTTGCACTGAGCCAAAAAGGAACCACTACATTCCATCCTGGGTGACAGACTGAGACCCTGTCTCAAAAAAATACAACTTTTTGTCTTGCTACCCCAGCATCAAAAAGGGGTTGGGGGTGGGGTGGGGGAATATTGGTGGAAGAAAATGAAAAAAAAAAAAAAAAGCATTAGGAAGAAAAGCCACAAATAATGCAACTGCAAATCTATCTAAAAATACAAAATGCTAGGAATTTGTGATATTCCTGAAATGAAACCTGTCACTTTCCTCCTTCCTTGAGTCTCCACGTGGCTTATGCACATCAGACAGCACTCAGGCTTCTCAGTCTTAGTTATCCATTTGAACAACACATGTACAAGGATATTCACCTAACTGGGATGTGAATTTAAACTTTTCCACTTTTCTTTCTTCCGTTTTAACGCAATTCTGGGATTGTTATTCAGTCATTTCTCCTCATTATCCAATAAAAATTCACTCTAAGAAAGAATTCCTGGTAGTTCCAAGACTAATGGCCACAAATGTTTAAAGATGTTAGCTCTACAGGAAAACGAATCAAAGCGTTTTCAGGGGGCTCAAGTAAGTTATGAGCTTAGTGTAGGCCCAAGTTTTAAGCTATAGAAACATATCCCTGTATGTGCCAACTCAAATCCCCGCCCCTGTGATAAACCTGGACACCAGTATGATTTTAAACACTTCTACACCTCTCCGTCCTATTTTTCCATGCTCCAAGCTCGAAGGAAAACCGCCACCCAAGAAACACACGGAGCTAGCCACCCCGAAGCACTACAAGGGCACAACAGTTTTTAGGTGCCCCCGCAAAGGCCACAGGTGGCGCCATCCCTCTGCCCCCGCACCGCCGCCCTCCGCCCTCCGCCCCGCGCCCTCCGGCTTCTCTCCAGCTGCGCACACTTGGAACACTCCTTCCCCGGGCCATCCGACCCTGACCCATCGCCCCTGGGACCGGCTGCCCGGCGCGGGAAACCCAGGCCGCGGGGCCTCCTAGCGCCCGTCCGCGCGGCCGCCACGCCCCCTCCCCACAGGCCGTCCGGGCCGCCAGCCCCCTCGGCCGGGAGGTGGCCTCACCTCGCACGGGCCGTAGCGGGGAGGGCGCCCACGTCTCCGCCCGCCGCCCGGGCCCACGGCCGCTCGGCTGCGGCTCGGCCCCGACGGCCGGCGGCGGCGCGCTTCTGGGGGCGGGCTCTTCTCGGCCGGGGCTTCCCCGGGGCCGAGGGCTGGGAAACAGGGGGGACTGGGGCGGGGGAGGGGAAAGGGGCTTGGGAAGGAAGGGGGAGAGGGGAAGAAAAGGGGGGAACCAAACCCGGAAAGGGAGAAAAAGGGGGAGGGGAAATCAGAAGGGGAAGAAAAGCCCAGAGTCCGCCCCCCGCTGCGGCCTACGCGCTACGTCACTACGTCCGGCGTTGTCGTCACCGCGTCCTGCGTTCAGTCTGTCCCCGCTTCCTGCCTGCCCGCGTGCGCCTCACCAACCCTGCGGGGCCTACGGCCTGCCGCACGCACTCCCGCGGGCGCGCGCGCACTCGCACTCGCTCGCTAGCCCTCTCTTCCCTCCGCGTTACCTGTGTCAGGACACCAATCTGGAGCCACTGGCAGCCTCGGTCCTCCTTAAACCCATCAAGTCTGTCAGAATACCCTGGATTTCAATATAATATTAATAGTGATCATCCTAAAGTAATTTCAATTTACAGAGCACTTTCAAAACAGCCTTTCACTTAGGGCAGTAACTCCTGTACCAAAGAACGTGCACTCGGTATTCGTTGTACACATGGATAACTATAATTCAGGTAAATGTCCATTTTACAGATGAAAAAACCTGACCTAGGAGGAACTCAGTCTGTCCGATTAAGATCACATTCTTACCATCCTCCCTTCTCTAAGATACAGTTCTCAAAAATCATCTTAAGGCCCGGCGCGATGGCTTAGGCCTGTAATCCCAGCACTTTGGGAGACCGAGGCGGGCGGATCACGAGGTCAGGAGATCGAGACCATCCTGGCTGAAACGGTGAAACCCCGTCTCTACTAAAAATACAAAAAAAGTAGCCAGGCGTGGTGGCAGGCGCCTGTAGTCCCAGTTACTTGGGACGCTGAGGCAGGAGAATGGTGTGAACCCGGGAGGCGGAGCTTGCAGTGAGCTGAGATCGCGCCACTGCACTCCAGCCTGGGCGACAGAGCAACACTCCGTCTCAAAAAAAAAAAAAAAATCTTAAATTTTCAACCTTCCCCGTTTTGTCCATTCTAGGCAGAATCAATTTAGTTATTGATTATGTGCGTGTGGATAATTGACTAACCAAACTCCCTCAAAGAAGCAATGTAAGCTAGGCGCGGTGGCTCAAGCCTGTAATCCCAGCACTTTGGAGCCTAGACGAGGTCGATCAAGAGGGGTCGCGATGAGATCAGACCATCCTGTGGGCTAACGCGCCAGGTGGAAGACGGCCGTCTGCTAGCTAAGAAGTACAAAAAAAAAAACTAGCCGGGATGTGGCGGCACCGCGCTTCCTGATTCCCAGTACTCGAGCTTAGTCATGATAATGCCGTTAACCCGGGAGGCAGAGCTTCATAGCTGAGGATCTTGCACTGCACCCAGCTGCGGCAACAAGCCGAGAGCTCCTTTCTCAAAAAAAAAAAAAAAAAAAATAAGCAATGTAGTCTTTGTAGAATTCGACCATTAGATATGTACCTTGCGACAGGAACTGCGGTAGGCAAAAAAAAGTCAAATAATTATAGTACAATTTAAGTGCTATAATAGAAAGGTTTCAATGTGCTATGGAAATACAAGGAACAGCAATTCATTCTTAGAGGTAAAAGAGGTTGAGTAAGTTACAGAGAAACTACAGGTGAAATTCCGCTAATCTTGAGACTATAAATAGTTCACTAGAGAGGTAAGACTGGAGATTCCAGCAAAGTCATAGAGGCATGAAGTTCATCTTTCCTTCAAGGATGAGCAAGTTCCAGGTTGGTTGGCCTGTTTTTTTTGTTTGTTTTGTTTTGTTTTTGTTTTTGTTTTTGAGATGGGGTCTCACTTTGTCACCCAGGCAGATAGAGTGCAGTAGTGCAATGTCAGCTCACTGCAACCTCCACCTCCCAGGTTCAAGTGATTCTCCTGCCTCAGCCTCCCGAGTAGCTGGGACTACAGGCGCTCACCACCATGCCTGGCTAATTTTTGTATTTTTAGTAGAGACAGGGTTTTGTCATGTTGGCCAGGCTGTTCTTGAACTCCTGGCCTCAGGTGATCCACCCACCTCGGCCTCCCAAAGCGCTGGGATTACAGGTGTGAGCCACCTCTCCCAGCCCTCTCGCCTGGTCATTACTGCCTCCTGCCCCCAAATTCTCTCAACCCCCTGGAGAACAGCAACGGGGGAAGAAAAATACAACTAAAAACTGAGCTGAACTAATCTAACCTGCCACTTTTCACCACGATTTAAACTTTTTGTCTTGGCCAGGTACAGTGGCTCACACCTAGCACTTTGGGAGGCCAAGGCAGGAGGATCATTTGAGCTCAGGAGTTCCAGATCAGGCAGTGATGACCAGGAGGAAATAATAGTTAATATTTGCATTATGTGTATGTAAGTACAATATACAATGTGTAGTATTCTAGATCTACTGTTACTATCAAATCCTCAATACGGTAGGTACTATTATTATACCTGTTTTATAGATGAGGAAACCTGAGGCACAATAATTAAACCAAAGTACCAGATTTATTTATTTATTTATTTTTTTTTTTTTTTTTTTTTTTTTTTGAGACGGAGTCTCGCTCTGTACCCAGACTGGAGTGCAGTGGCCGGATCTCAGCTCACTGCAAGCTCCGCCTCCCGGGTTCACGCCATTCTCCTGCCTCAGCCTCCCGAGTAGCTGGGACTACAGGCGCCGCCACCTCGCCCGGCTAGTTTTTTGTATTTTTAGTAGAGACGGGGTTTCACTGTGTTAGACAGGATGGGCTCAATCTCCTGACCGCGTGATCCGCCGTCTCAGCCTCCCAAAGTGCTGGGATTACAGGCTTGAGCCACCGCGCCCGGCCTTATTTATTTATTTTTGAGACAGAGTCTTGCTCTGTCACCCAGGCTGGAGTGCAGTTGCGTGATCTCGGCTCACTGCAACCTCTACTTCCCGGGTTCAAGTGATTCTCCTGCCTCAGCCTCTCAGGTAGCTGGGACTACAGGCATGTGCCACCACGCCAGGCTAATTTTTTTTATGTTTTTTTATTTTTTACTTTTATTTTTTGGTACTTTTAGTACAGATGGGGTTTCACCATGCTGGTCAGGCTGGTCTCAAACTCCTGACCGCAAGTGAGCCGCCCACCTCGGCCTCCCAAAGTGCTGGAATTACAGACGTGAGCCACCACGCCCCACCTACAAGCATGTTTTAAGGGCTAAAAAGAAGGGGACAGGGAGTGGGCTGATACAAAGTTGTCGGGTATTCTTGTTGGTTTACAGAAATAACACTGATTAGTGATTGGCTATACATTGTTAAGCTATAGGATCTAGGTTATAGTGTCCAGTGCAGCATTATTAGGTTAATTTATAGTTACTTGTGGCAATTGCTTGCTATTGCCACATTGCCAATTGCTTGATGCTGTTCATCAAGAGATGAATACATAGCTCAAAAGCAGGGAGTAGGACATGATTGCCGTCTCATTTTATTTATTTATTTATTTATTTTAATTAATTTTTTTTTTTTTGAGACATGCTCTCACTCTATTTCCCAGGCAGGTGTGCTGCAGTATGATTACAGCTCACTGCACCTTCAACCTCCTGGGCTCAAATGATCCTCCAGTCTCAGCCTCCTGAGTAGCTGGGACTACAGGCACATACCACCACTCCCAGTTTCTTTTTATTTTATTTTATTTTTTTATTTTAGTATGTATAGGGTCTGGCTATGTTGCCCAGGCTGGTCTTGAACTCGTGAGTTCAAATGATTTGCCCGCTTTGGCCTCCTAAAATGCTGAGATTACAGGCTTGAGCCACCATGCCTGGTCTGCTGTCTCATTTTAATGTCTCTCTGAGCCTGATCATTTTAAAAGACTTGCATTTCCCAGATTAAAATTGTTTTCTTTTCTCAGTGCTGTGACACAGAATGAAAGCCTGAAATGTTTCTGAGACAAGTACAAGAACTGAAGAACAATAACCAAGAATACCTGGCTTTAAAACCTATACTCCTGGCCGGGCACGGTGGCTCATGCCTGTAATCCCAGCACTTTGGGAGGCCGAGGCGGGTGGATCACGAGGTCAGAAGTTCAAGACCACCCTGACCAACATGGTGAAACCCCGTCTTTACTAAAAATACAAAAATTAACTGGGAGTGGTGGTGCACACCTGTAATCCCAGCTACTCAGGAGCCTGAGGCAGGAGAACTGCTTGAACCCAGGAGGCAGAGGTTGCAGTGAGCCAAAATTATGCCACTGCACTCCACCCTGGGCGATAGAGTGAGACTCTGTCTCAAAAAAAAAAAAAAAATCTCAAAACTTCTTTTCCAAGACAGATAAAAACCCCAAAGGGTGAGCAAATTTGGAACTGAAGGCCTTTGCCTACCTTAAGAGTTCCCTCTGAGAGCATCAAAGACATGGCTAGAACACTGTGCCTCCCTTCCCTTACCCTTCAGACTTCATGGTTTTGAGACCTCTTGGGCAAAACTCAACCAAGGCGAACAAATAAGGCTAGATTGAGAACCCCAGGGAGGGAGGATGGAGGGATGGGAATGGGCTTTGAGAAACACCAGGCAAAAAAGAATGCAACTCTCAATTGTTCATGCATGACAGTGAGCTAAAGTGCCTTGCCAATGACCCGTTCTTCTTTGAGAGTCTCCCTTTAACATTCTTTCCCAAAACCCGTGATCTGTGCCTTTCCCCTATCCCCAGGATTCCCAGCAAGGGTAGTGATCTGAGGAGAAATTTAATCTCTCACCTTTGTCCCCAGGTTTGGCAGCTCACATGGATAACAACTGTCTCCCAACATTGGCCCAGGGACACGTCTTTCCCTAAACAAACCAACCTCTCCTCACGTCCCCCACTCTGTACTTTCACTGACTATGCGTTGGCAGATTCTGCCAAGTTCTACCTGTAACTGGCTTCATTTTCAAGTCAGATGTTTGGCTGCTGCTCTGTCCCCTGCAACAAGGAGCCATGCCAGCTGGACACACACTTCTTCCAGAGCCTCTGGCAGCCAGGACAGAGTTGAGACCACAGCTGTTGAGACCCTGAGCCCTGAGTCTGTGTTGCTCAAGAAGGGCCTCCCCCAGCAATGACCTCCTCATTGCTTCTGGCCTTTTTCCTCCTGGCTCCAACCACAGTGGCTACTCCCAGAGCTGGTGGTCAGTGTCCAGCATGTGGAGGGCCCACCTTGGAACTGGAAAGCCAGCGGGAGCTGCTTCTTCATCTGGCCAAGAGAAGCATCTTGGACAAGCTGCACCTCAGCCAGCGCCCAACACTGAACCGCCCTGTGTCCAGAGCTGCTTTGAGGACTGCACTGCAGCGCCTCCATGGGGTCCCACAGGGGGCACTTCCGGAGGACAACAGGGAACAGGAATGTGAAATCATCAGCTTTGCCGAGACAGGTGGGTTCCTGGTCTGTAGCTTTTCCCCAGAACTTGACCTCTCAAGGAAAGGAAAAGTTTCCTCACCAGCCTTACCTCTGACTCCTTCCCCAAAAACCATCCAACCCCTGTTTCCCACGGGCTGTAATCTCCTTATCCCAGGTATCCCCACATCCCCCTGGGGCTCACTCTGGTAGCTCAGACCTGACCAGTAGGCAGCTGGAAAGCTGGTAAATTTCACTTCTTTTGAGACTGCCTGTCGTCATCTCCTCTGCCTCCTCTTTCTGCAGGCCCCACAAACCCACAGGCTGTGGTGTGAGCCCATCCACTTCCTGGGCCTGCACACAGCGACTGGGAGGTGAGCAGTCTCTCTTTTCTTTGGCCCCAGGATCTAGCCCCTCCCTTCCCCTCTCCTCCAGATGCCTCATTTGAGTAAAAGAAGAAAAAATAAAACACCAGGACTACAATACCTCACTATATGTCATGTTCCCATTAGACCTCAGGTCACCATATCAGAAAACAGGGTCAAAATGGGACTCAGAAAAATGGATAAAGGGGCTGGACACAGTGGCTCGTGCCTGTAATCCCAGCTATTCAGAAGGCAGGAGGATCACTTAAAGCCAGGAGTTCCAGACCAGCCTGAGCAACATAGCAAGACCCTGTCTTTTTTTTTTTTCCCCCCCAAGACAGAATCTTGCTCTGTTAACCAGGCTGGAGTGCAGTGGTGCGATCTCGGCTTACTGCAACCTCCACCTCCTGGGTTCAAGCAATTCTCCTGCCCCAGCCTCTCAAGTAGCTGGGATTACAGGTGCCCACCACCACACTCGGCTAATTTTTATATTTTTAGTGGAGACTGGGTTTCACCGTGTTGGCCAAACTGATCACTGATCTCAAACTCCTGACCTCGTGATCCTCCTGCCTCAGCCTCCCAAAGTGCTGGGATTACAGGAGTGAGCCACCGTGCCCAGCGACCGTGTCTCTCTTTTTTTTTTTTTTTGAGACAGAGTCTTCCTCTGTCATCCAGGCTGGAATGCAGTGGTTATGATCACAGCTCACTGTAGCCTCAACCTCCCAGGTTCAAGTGATCCTCCCACCTCAGCCTCCCAAGTAGCTGGGACTACAGGTATGTGCCATCATGTCTGGCTACTTTATTTTATTTTATTTTATTTTATTTTATTTTTTGAGATGGAGTCTCGCTTTGTCACCCAGGCTGGAGTGCAGTGGCACGATCTTGGCTCACTGCAAGCTCCACCTCCCAGGTTCATACCATTCTCCGCCTCAGCCTCCCGAGTATCTGGGACTACAGGCGCCTGCCACCATGCCTGGCTACTTTCTATGTATTTTTTAGTAGAGACAGGGTTTCACCGTGTTAGCCAGGATGATCTCGATCTCCTGACTTCGTGATCAGCCTGCCTCGCCCTCCCAAAGTGCTGGGATTACAGGCATGAGCCACCACGCCCAGCGTATATTTTTTTATAGAGACAGGATTTCATCACGTTGCCCAGGTTGGTCTTGAACTTTTGGGCTCAAGCAATCCACTCGCCTCGGCCTCACAAAATGCTAGGATTACAGACACGAGCCACCGCCCCCGGCCTAAAAATTAGCTGGGTGCAATAGAGTGCACCTGCAGTCCCAGCTGTTTGGGAGGCTGAGATGGAGGATCATCGAGCCCAGGAGTTTGAGACTGCACTGAGCTATGTTTGCATCACTACCCTCTAGCCTGGGCAGCAGAGACCCCCATCTCTAAAATTAATTAAATATTAAATTAATTAATTTAATTAATTAAATCTCGAATTAATTAATTTAATTAATTATTAAATTAATTTATTTAATTAATTAAATATTATTTTAATTAATTTAATATTTAATTAATTAAATATTATTTTAATTAATTTAATATTTAATTAATTAAATTAATTAATTTAATTAAAACGAGACTCCCTTTCAAAAAAAAAAGGAGAAAGAAAGAAAATGCAAACTGAGCCCTTTGCAAGCTCTTTCTTAGGTCTGAAGACCCCTCCCATTTCTGGCCCCTCATTCCCTCTTGTTTTTTTGTGGTTTTTTTGAAATAGAGTCTCATTCTGTTGCCCAGGCTGGAGTGCAGTGGCATAATCTCAGATCACTGCAACCCCCGCCTCCCAGGTTCAAGCCATTCTCCTGCCTCAGCCTCCTGAGTATCTGGGACTACAGGCGAACGCCACTAAACCAGGCTAATTTTTGTGTTTTTAGTAGAGACGGGGTTTCACCATGTTGGCTAGGCTGGTCTGGAACTCCTGACCCCAAGTGATCTGCTCGCCTTGGCCCCCCAAAGTGCTAGGATTACAGGTACTGCACCAGCCCCCGCCTGTTTCAAGACCCAGCTTTGAACCGGAGCTAGATAGCCTGGGCTCAGATTCTTGCTCAGCCATTTATTAGCTGTTTGACCTAGTGGTTAATAGTTCTCTCATTTGTTAAATGGGATAGTTGACAGAATTAAAGGGCTAATACAGGTAAAGTACTTTGAATGTTAAAGTGGGAGGGAGCAGGAACTAGAGAGTAGATTTAGCGCCTGCCGATGAGGGGATTATGGTGAGCGTCCTCTTCTCTTGATAACCTTCCATGGAGGAAAGGGGCAAGGCAGCTCTCTAGAAATCTTTTATAAAGACACTAATCCTATTAATGAGGGCTCCACCCTCATTACTTAATCACCTCCCAAAGGCTCCGCTTCCTAATACCATCACATGGGGGTTAGGATTTCAACATATGAATTTTGAGAGAACATAACAGCCTCTCTCCATGAAGCCTCTTAGCATTCAATGGTCTATCCCAAGTTTCTTTAGAGAATGGTGGCTAGATTCCAAGAGGATAATTTCAATGTGTAAATTATTCTCAAGCTTCTGCATACACCTTGCTTACTAATATTCCATTGACAAAGCAAGTCATTGTAGCCAAGCCTAGAATCAATCACTGTGAGATGGAACTAGATGAAGGCGTGAAAGCCATGAGGTACTGTTTATTGGGGACTACCAATCTGGCAGTCTCCTGAAGTCTGCCCTCTGACCCCTAACAATTTATATCTCTCCCACAAGCAAAATACAATCATCCTCTCCCAGCCACCCCCATCAAACTTTCATCCCTTGGCCAGGCGCGGTGGCTGAAGCCTGTAATCCCAGCACTTTGGGAGGCCGAGGCGGGCGGATCACAAGGTCAGGAGATGGAGACCATCCTGGCGAACATGGTGAAACCCCGTCTCTACTAAAAATACATTAAAAAAACTAGCCGGGCAAGGTGGCGGGCGCCTGTAGTCCCAGCTACTCGGGAGGCTGAAGTGGCGTAAACCCGGGAGGCGGAGCTTGCAGTGAGCTGAGATCCGGCCACTGCACTCCAGCCTGGGCGACAGAGCAAGACTCTGTCTCAAAAAACAAACAAACAAACAAACACAAACAACAACAACAAAAAAAACTTTCATCCCTTTATGGCATCAGGATCAAGCTTGAAGTCCAGCATCTCATCACCTGAATTAGGTGCAAATATAGGTGAGGCTCCTCTGGTACATTTCTTCAGGTGCAGGGGCCTTCAGTGATGTCCTAGCGCCTGGCTTATTCTGACTTATGAAAGCTGATTGTGAACATCTCCCAACTTAGGATTCAGTGATGTCACATTAGCAGCTTGAAATCAGTCATGGTGGGAGAATTTATACAAAAGAAATTGACAAAGACTACGAATCAGGGCTTTTGATTTTTTTCCCTGGAAACCAGTTATTAAACATTTACCAGCATACCACTCTCTGTGTCCTAAAAATACAAGTTCTCCACCTCCCACGCACTTAACATACAATGCTGAGACAGGGACAGGATAAACATAATAGATACTCCTGTTCAAAATGGGATGTGGGAGAATAGGAGACACAGAGGAGTCACTGATCCATAAAGCTTCTTATATTCAGCCGGGCAAATATCAGGTCCACTCCAAATCCAGAATTCCCTTGGTTAGTTAGGGCCTGGTTCTGCTCCCTGGTATTTCCAATTGTGCACTACTGCTCTCCTGGACTTCCAAATTCACCCTCTCAGCCCTTGGCACTCTACCTGCTGAGATGTCTTTCCTTTTAAATAGGAAATGATCTATGTTTGCGGCTGAGTACTTTTCTCAGCCTACTTTCTGCCCAGAGTTGGGGGCCCAAAGACCTCTTTTTATTTTGAATTGTCCCTTTTAGTCCAAACTGGTGCTGCTTTCAGTATTAAACTTCTCTTTTAAACTCTGTGGACCCTGTAAATAATAAATTGTAGTCTACTCAATTACACAGAAGGCACCACATTCTATCAAGACAGACCCTTATTTAGGCTACAAGTCTGTGTCATGGGATAACACCTTTAAGATGTTTAGAAGTGCATTTGTCTAGTTGTAAGGGTTAACAGAACATTGTCTTAAATTTTAAATCTCAAAAAATGTTAGATCTTAACAAACAAAAAGTTTTTTTGGTTTGTGTTTTAGAGATGGTCTCACTATGTTGCCTAGGCTGGAGTATAGTGGCTATACTATTAGCAGCCTCAATAATACTGCATTATAGCCTCAAACTCCTGGCCTCAAGGGATCCTCCTGCTTCAGCCCTCTGAGTAGCTGGGGCTACAGGCATGTGTTCCCATGACCAGCTAACAAAAGATTTTATAGCTGACCCTTTATTTGTTTTGATCTTCACTCTGAGTCCGTGTATTACTGGAAATACCCTGGATTTGATTTTTGCTCTGAGGTAATTTCTTACTTTAAGAACCTTTTGTCAGAGAGGAAGAATGAAAAAGAATTTTTGTTGTTATGTTTCTTTTCTTTCCTCTACATGTACAACATGAAGAAAAAGGTTTCGTTTTGTTTTTTTTCTGAAAAATTAGCAACACAGAGTAAGGGGTTTTATTTTTTAATTTAGCAAGTGCTTTTAGAAATATTTTCTCTAAATTCTGTTTGAAAATTGAACAGTGCCTTTTTTTTTTTTTTTTTTTTTTGAGACGGAGTCTTGCTCTGTCGCCAGGCTGGAGTGCAGTGGTGCAGTC